GTTTCTCACACTTGTCTAACTTCAATTGACTAATAAATTCAACTATTAAATGTTTTATTCCTTAGTAAGATCTAGCGTATGTTACTTGACCTTTACTAGTAACCTAATGAATTAATCATCAATTGGTATACGCCTGATTATCTTATCTATCTAAACCTTTTATTTGATTAAATAGATCTAAATATATTCTCATAAGCTATGTTTAAATTTTACAATTTAGTATTTATGCTTCATTTATCTTGTATACTGTCTTCTTTTTGTATGAATAAAGTATAGTGTTTAAGCGATAACTATCTACATTTATTTTAATCTTACCATCATTTTGATAGATTCTAAGTTTTATATTAGTTATTTAAACATAACAGGGAAATTAACTCTTATTGTTATGTAATCATATGCTTGTTATTCATATGAATTTATTGATATTTATCTGATTAAAAATAAATTGAGGTTATGTTTTCTTACAAACTATATTCAAGTGAAATTTTATTGAAAATCATTGTATATAAAAACGTTGTTTCTTTTTAATTCGAGGAACTCTATCATCACACTCTTTTAGTGATTGTAAAAAATGGGAATCTTAACTACTATATAGTACTACGGAAAATTAATTTCAACAATGATGAATTATTGTGTAATACTGGAAGTCAATAATTTATGTATATATTGCAAAATAAAATGAATTGTTTATTGAAAAATGTAGCAAGGCACTTAAAAGTGGTAGATGGATCTGACGAATCTTGTTGATCAAGAAAATACTGAATTTCTGACTAAGAGCGTTATGGAATATATATACATTGATGTTTATTAATCATCGTAAAATTCAATCAACCACTCCTAAATTCTGCTTTAAATAAACGGATTTATATCACGTTACTATGAAGAGGGAAGTCAAATAGCATAATTCTGAAATTGCAACTGTAAACAGTTGTCCAGAACATATATTATGATGAATATTTCATATTTAGGTAAAGTCCATGATTCCATACAAACTTCAACATTGCATTTACTAATTTTCATGTGTGTGGATCAACAATCAGGGAGGAGAGATCGAACAATATAATCTAGGCTGGTGAAGCATGAATAAACAGCATAAGAATTAGTTAACATCGCATGACTAATAAACAGTGAAAAGAAAACCATGCTCTGTGATATTGAAACATATAATTAAAACAGGTCATAAGATGACCTTAGATCGTCCTTCAAGTATTTATGTAGAGTGTATTGATGACGCATTTTTAGGATTGTGAAAGCCTTGGTCAACAAAAGAAAATCTCCTTTATATGTATAAGAGCAATTTTTTAACCTTGAATCTGTCCTGATAGTCTTTAATCCACTGTAATAATTAGATTCGTGACACCTTTTTTCTTCCCATATTATCTTTTCACTCTATTTCTAATTATCATATTATACTTCTCTGAACTTTTATCCGGCTGACCTTCATTAGTTTTAAAAATATAACAAGTATATAGGTGACCAGCTTCTAATGCCAGTGCGTAATATCGTAAATTGTTCGAATATATTAAATGGAAATCATTGGAAGTTGGTACAGTGGTTTCAAAGGTTAAACGCATGTAGTGAAACTTAGATGTCTTAAGTTTAATATGGCTCAATAACTTAGAATCTAACATTGAATAAAAAAGGGACTGGTAATATTTCGACTTTCATGAAACATGAATTTAATAGAATGTGGATTTTATGCAATAATTATATATGGAGTTAATTTACAAGTTTTTATATCATTTATATACCCACGTCAATATGTATACATTAATTCAACATTTTTATATGGAGCTAAGTATGTTGAATGTAATAAGTAATGTAACATTTTAATAAAGCTATCAGGATGAAATATATGCATCTGCGAATTTCATTCAGTCAAACTTAATTATTCAATCTGTTATCAAGTATAAACTGTTTAAAGATTTTAATCTCTAAATTAAACAATCGTATATAGAAATATAATAAACTATTTTGATATTTCTGAAACCACATAATGTTTTTTTGTTCATAAGCATTAAATACTTTAATTACACATTGGATCTGATGAAGATTTGCTTATTTACTCTCTTTTTCATTACTAGTGTTGAATGTTTTATTCAGCAATCAATAAAGAAAATTGAATAAGTGATCATATTATGATCGCTAACGCATTTGAAAACGTTGATACAGATATAAGAAAGTTCTGCTTTTCGTCACAAAATAAATGCTAATTATATCATTGTCCGATAGCGAGTCAAACAACGTTATTGTACTAGTAAACGTAAATGTAGGGTATGCAAGGTATTTTCCATAGATTTGGAATATGGATGATATGGGAACCAATGGGCATAGAAACGTGATCATATGATAGAGATTATGGGAAAATAATAATTTTAATACAACTATCAATTGAAAAGAAAGAAAAAGAACAACCAAACTCATCTTAGAGGATGTGAAAATAGGAACGCATGAAAAAGCTCGAAATACAACTAAAAAACCAAATATAAAAGTATCATAGACGGTAGTTTTGGTGATTCTACACTTAATCTATTCTAGAACAAAACAAAAACTTAATTTACTGTTTAGAAAGCAGGTGAACTTGGTTAATAAACACAAACCTAATAAATGGTGGTGGTTCCAGAATGCAGAAATGGTCAACAATGATGCAGTAAATTACAACAGTAGATTCAAATTCACTATTCAAGATTGAAGAACACATCTATCTAGTGGTGAAAACCCAAATAAAAAGTATTTGACTCCTAAACAGGAGTGTTAAGTGGTAAAACACTAACGTAATTTTCTCCCAAAAAATGTTCAGTATTATTATTAATACTCTCATAGTCCCATAGGCTGTTGTATAACAATTCCTGATACCGTTATCCAACGAGTAGTAGTTACGTACTTTTCTTTAAAATAACGGTTACCTGCTAAAATAATCATGAATATATTTTTACAACTTCATGATGAAACACTTTCTATGATGAATTGTTTTATTTGTGAGATCGATTGGATTGAGTAATGGGGTCTGTATTACAGTGAACAATTGCAAGTTAAGTAAGTACCACACACTTGATACTAGTTTCTTGCTTTTCGGGTTAAATTAATAAGATTTTCGATGTGATGTTGTCACAAACAGGAATAAACCCGCATGACTATAAATTACACATGGCCGACTGAATAACATACAACACAATGAAGTGTGTCAGCATGATTTTATGCACAACTGGACACTTAGCATAACCCCTGAGTGTACATGTGTTTGTAAATTTAAAGTCGACTATTTCCTTTCTATGTACAAGTTGTGTTAACCTTAATAGAAATCTCCATAAGTTTCCACCTTGTCACTACTTATACCATACTTATCGTCAGTGAGACTAGGAGTGTAAATCGAGGAAGTCAGATTTACAAGAAATAGCCGTTAGTCAACAAAATAACACAGTTATCCAACACGACTAAGAGCTGATTGTCGCAAAATATAGAGGTTTAGAATCCCCAGTTTACAAGAGTAATCACTTCAACCGCGTTATTTCGTATTTGAACAACTGACACAAGGAAATTACCTGACAAGAATAAATGAGATATCCTAATGGAAAAGAAATAGTTGATAATCACAATATGCAACCAACCCGATGCTACTCCTTTACTAGCGAAGTTAAATTTAGCAGCATACTCGAAGTAAAACATATTGGGATGATATGTTACACACTTTGATAAGTTGGTTTGCGTTGTTATTGTCTTGATTTTCTTCTTACCAACTCGTTTCCTGTTAATTTCCTATACTACTTATTAATATTGAGTACATAGTTTTATTCCTAACAATTTACACGCTTATGTTGTCACGTAGGTTTGTTGCGTAATATTCTAAAATATTTACAGGTACTTATAGCAATTATCGTATTTATCATTTTGACTGCTTTCTCTAAATATCTGTATCAGTTATTCGTGATTTTGTATAGTCATTCAGTCTTTGTTTAAACATAAAGGTTTCCATATTTGCTTGTTTTAGGTTCCCTTTTTGCTTGTTGATAAACTGTTATTAAGATTAGACACAGCTATTATTTGCAATATCCAAAGTCATAATTATTCTTTATGGTATCATCGCAGAAACCCATTTTTATTTCAGATGCGCTAAGAGCTACAGATACTTCAAAAGTTAAGGTTTATAACTGATTTCTGCCTATTCATCGACAAAGAACCGGATTCGAGATAGATCGTTGTTTCACACATGTCTCAGTCGTGTGATTTGACGCTTCGGTAGATTTAACATACCTGTTACTCAATATAATTTTATGGCACAAACCTGATGTGTGGGCGAGAATGAGCATGACTGGTTGTCTGGTTAGTCAGACATGTAGATAGTCTGACAGGTGTCAGATGAGTTATATATTCTCTTATCATTATTATTGTGACGCACCTATTATTGATTGTTCATTGTTGTCGGATTTGTCGGTTTTTGGTGTGGAAATATATTTACGTTGTGGTCAGGCTAATTACGTGTTCTTGACTTGAATTGTGTTGAAGTCCTGTAGAATAGACACTGGGAGGGAATCTAGTGTAGATATTCGTCTAAGGTAAATTAACATTAGACGTTATAGCAATTGGGGACGGGGTGAAAAACAAAAAACCAAGAGTACAAAACCACAAGTTATAACAGAACCTAAGTATATAGAAATTAGAAAACACGATACTTTACTTTATATTTAAGTAGACTTTATAGTATGGGAAATTCGGTACAGAAATCAACAGTTTACCATTAATAAGAGATATTATGACGCACTTATATTCATGAAATTCATGTAACACAAGTTTCGATAATTGCTAAACAAAACCATCTAAGAACTTTCAGTAAGAAAAGGTTAACATCAGCCAAAATTATGATTAATTCAAATGCTTCTATTATAAAATTATATCTGTTAAAAAAGTTGGAAATTAATTTTTACATCATTATGATAGAATTAAATGGCACTTGATTATTTAGTGTTTTTTTTTCAGGTCGATTAGATTATAATGGTAAAATTTCACTTCATTTGTAGCTTGTTACTTAACCAAATAGCATATTCTTCAATTTCTTCATAACTTTCACAAAGTGTAATAATGTTTCTTGGTATAGTTGAATTACTGCCCAATGGAATGCCAACATATCCACCAGCTAATGCAGTAGCCATACAACCAATAGTATCAGTATCACCACCTAATCCGATCGATAAGACAATACAACGTAGAGGAGGTGACTATGAACACAAAGAAAGCAATGCAATAATATATATAATTCTATATTTAATAATTTCTTGAAAATAATTACAAACGTATATGTTTAACCAGTAATAAAATACAGAATGATAGAGACTGGCCTTGGAAACCTTTCATATAAGATTTAAAGACATATTTACAGAGAGAACTGACTGCCATCAGTCAGATTCTCAAATACGGCCGTAAGCACTGATGGGGAGCTGCCTCAAAAGTTAAGACAAAGTAGATGCCCAATCCTATCCGGTTTTTAATGATTTTCCAGTTTATTTCGATTAATTATGGTAATTATCTTCACAACATTTACGAAATAGCCCTCAATATATAGTGGATTAAAAGCACATCAAAACATAAATAATATGTCATTAAAAAGCAAACAGAAAATATCTCACATTAAACTCGATTCCGTCTATAGGTTTTAAACTGCGCAGAAATACATATAATGCGGTTGGAACAGAGTTGATGGCTTTTAAATCATTACCTAGAGTGCAGTAGAAAAATAAGTAATAAATTAGTACTGTTATGATCAATATAACAGTAATACGATAAATTGTGAATAAAATGCTTAATAGGAGAGGTTCATCTTTTTGATCGCAGTGATAAAAATTGTCATAGTTATAGTAATGATAAAAATAACGTGTGATTATAATATGCAATAAGCGATGTGTTGTCAAGGTAATCATGTTAAAAAAATCATGTGAATTGAGAAAGATGAATGTGTAGATTAAGAAAGATGTAAACACAAAAGGAATTAGGGAAGGGGATAAGTTGTTCATAGTATCCATTCTAGGTATCCGGTGATCTAGTCATGGACCAAGGTAAACAAAAAGGCTTGATGTACCTTTTCTGGATTCATAGGTCCAGTTTCTGGAATTGATCCAAATGGCTTCAACTATGTAGGGGAATCATAATCGAGCTCTTTTAGGTGGATTGTTTGAAACTTGATATAAAACAGAGAAAGCGTCATCTAGTTTAATATGATGTTTACTGTCTATCATGTGGGAAAGAATGCCACTGGTAATAGATTTAGTGACTTCTTTTACCAACAATGTTGGGACATGTTAACGAACACACGAGGATAAAGCCCTCTGAATATGGCCTATGTGACTGGATCTACAGGAGCAGTTGAATTGGTAGACACATATAGAGAAGCCCATAATCAGTAGCCTATCCTTAATTTGTTGTGTAAGTACTGGTCTGGTTGAGAAGATTACATTCATGAGTTAGAGCAAGTAAATAATCTATCAAGTTTCTATTTACTTCTAATTATTAGTTTATTTGTTATCAAAATCAATCAAATTGATCATTGAGTATGAGTTAAACCTTCACCTTTTGTGCAGTGAACGAAGACTTGGGTAGAGTAAACTAACTTATTGTATCGTGCAAAATCACAGTACATTTATAAAAATATGAAAAAAACCATTAAATACACCATTTGCACATCTTCCTGAATCGTCTCTGACAAATTCCATCATTCTTTTATTTCTGTTATTACTCGAAATGCTTCTGTTTTTATTTCTCTTCTCCTCATGTTCCTATTTTGTCAGTACGAATCTTTTCTTCCAATTCTTGATACATACTACTTATGTATTTCATGCGCACTTGTCCATATATATATATATATATAGACAAGTGCGCATGAAATACAGCTATGTGGTTACTAGTTACAAATAAGAGTAGTAGTATATATAAATATTAGTATAGGATATATATTAGAATTAGGAATCGATAAGAAGGGTTATGTAGCAATTGAACAGGATTTGAAGAGTTAACATAAGTTTAGGGAAGTAAGTGAGTGAAAATAACAATAACAAACATTTATCAAGGTAGTGATAAGTTGATCATTGTCTTTTTCTGGATTAGTAAATCAGGTTTGAGTTCTTTATTACTGCTGCTTCGGCAAACCGGATACGCTGCATTCTCGTCCGCTAATCATTCCTACAACTGAATAACACATGGAACTCAAAACAACTGTCAAACAACACCAGAGTAAGAATATTCAATACAAACATCAAGACAGTTCTACTATACGGAGCTGGAACTTACAGAAATACTAAAACCATCATCAGAAAAATACAGGTTTGTAAAAGTAATTATCTACGCAATATACTCAACATTCGTTGACCAAATACCAGCAGGAACAACGTATTATAGCAGAGTATAAACCAGCTTTCATCTGAAGATGAAATTAGGAAAAGATGCTCGAGGTGGATAGGATATACACTGAAGAAATCATCAAACTGCATCAAGAGGTAAGTCCTAGCTTTGGATCCTGAAGGCAAAGGGAAAAGAAGGCCAAAGAGCATATTGCGTCGGGAATAGGAGGTATAAATCAAAGGAATGAATAGCGAGTTCAGGACAGAGTTTAATTAAGAATGCTGGTGGGAGGTCTATGCTCCTCCACGAAGGGTAACAGGAGTAGGTAGGTGAGTCATACCAAAGTAACTAGTGAATGAAATAATGTATTTTATAATTCAGTGAATATTACTCGCAAAAGCCTATTTATAGACAGAACTAAATCAGATGAACAAACAGTAAAAGATGGGACTGGTCAACCTAGTTACTGCTTTGTGAGAAATGACACGCAAACTATCTAACAGAAAAATAAACAATTTTAGGGTAAGGGTCTTATAGATTACCAAATAGACAACAAAATAAAAATGTAAGTATTGTAAAACATATCATCTAACTAATTTTCAATGAGCAAGTTATAGGGCGCTAAAGAGCAGTTAATACCATCCTTCAGAGGTCATTTCCAAAAGCCACACAAAGACATAGTATATTCTTATGTCGTATGTTTTTCACTTATCTAAGATGGTTTTGTTTCGTTTGCGTAGATAATAAAACCCGATAGATCCAAAAATAAGGTTTTTATTATGTGCAATTAAATTTCGTTGATTACCCTACACTCCCAGTCTAGGCATGTATTTTAAACAGTATTGAAGTAACCATCTGCGTTTTCCGATCTCTCCACATGATGTTCAGAAAATTTAAACTTTATATGAGTGTCCGTTGGCCTATCATGAAGGACAAAAATCTTCAGAATATACATCGGAAAGTTGAATAAAATTGATGATCAAGGATCTCTACATATACGATGGAAGCAAAAGAAATGTTTCTCGTGAAAAAGTAAACCTACCCAATTGATCGACAATATTTGTAACTGATGGTTGTTTATCGTCTATCAAGAGATATTTAACTATTTGTAATTTTTCTTTATAAGCATCAAGTGCTTCTAACCAATTGGGTTGCCTGAAATTTACAAAATATTCTGTTTTCTCTAGTCTTTCTAATAAGTTATCGATGAAAGTTACATAATCCAGTTGTATATGATCATGTATTAAAGAGAAAATAATTTGTATAGCATACGCTTGTATAAGTGCTCCACATATAGCCAGTGGATTGGTATGAGTTAACCGAGTAACATCAATAATCATTTCCTAAAATAAAATGATAACGTAACATAAAGTAAAGCACTAGTTTGTGAATGATGTTTTAAGATAAATGTATAAGAGAAGATATTGGTTGAAAACCAATTGATGGGTCAGTTAGAGTAAACAGTTTTTCACTAGTTAAAACAGATGAAATCCAGGTCAATTAAATCTGAATTGAACTTCTAAATCACGAATGACCTACTTCTAGGTATTACAGAAAAGCACGTCCAACAATAAAGTAAAGTCCCTATCCAGTTGCATTCTTGCCTTTAAAATTTTAATCTTATACTACAGCTAACAAAAATTCTCTTACAATCAATGAACATTGACCATATCTTTCATCAAACTTTTTTTGACAGAAGTTCATACTCGGACATAATTATATCCCTCATTGTACTTCTTGATAAGATTTGATAATACCGAAGGACTGACTAGCATTAAATTGCTGATATAGGGGGTTATGATAATCTTTGAATTTGAAGTTTTCCATCACGGACTAATTTGGGCTAAACAAGCAATGAAATAAATGAAGCATTGGATATCTGTTTTGGCCTAGTATGGGACCTATCAGTGGTGAGCATCCATGATACCAACAAAGTCAATCTATAACGTGATATAAAATCAAAAAATACTTTGTTATTAGTGAGCACTACAATCAAATCACCTAGCTCAGAAACTCAAAAACACCAGAAGCGTCCATTTGAGCTGAAATTCTCCATTATTTAACGCGAACGTATAAATGTGAATTAAAATGTCCAGGAATAAATATCTAAAGTATGCAAGCTATGCGGTAACCTGAATTTCGGCCTTATTCATATTTGACATTATCCTGTTTTTACTATGTAAGATTTTTCACCTTAAGAGATCTGGAAACGGAACAGGATTAGCAGTGGTTTGAAAGAGTAATCACAGAACCAAACAAACATATGTTAGAAGTTAGTAGCCTACAACATTTATGTGTTTATTTTCGTAGGATTAACCCCATACTTTCCAAACCTAACTATTGGTATACGAAATCTAAGGCGTAAGAAGTATGTTGTTTTTAAGATAAACCTTGCTTGACTTTTTTCTTCTATTGAAATGAGTACCATTAAAAGTAACGTGATCTTATCGGTCATACTGATTAACACTAATCGGAAGATAAAATATTGGTGGTTGTATCTTTGAATAAGCTGGTGTGATGTTTATTATGGCCTGTAACATAATAACCTTATAGAGGAACTTAAAAGTAACCATTGACAGTCTTACTTATTTGGTGGCCAAATTAAATGTCTCATAAACACCACGACATGATATACTTTATATTTAATATACATTGGACGTTATCTAAAATTTATGGTCCACGTTCTTAATAACAACTACCAATATCAGGCCAGTAATGTAGGCAATTAGTAAAACACGTCATTTTGATACACTTTTGGATTTTTTTCAAATAAACGTCCGAATTACTTCAGCAGTGATATTCTATTTCTTTTTCACTCAAAACAAGTCGAGATGTCTCAGTAAATCTAATCAACTATAAGTACGCTTCTCTAATCTGATCGTAAACTAATGAAATATTACGCTGTAGTGCATGATGGTGTGAACTGCTTTTAAAATTTTTAAACAAAGGTCGGATTGTCAAAAAACTCAATACACATAATACGCTAGCTACCAGCTTTCTGTTAATGTTTATGAACTACATTAAGGATAACTGAACACCAACGACTATTTCACATACATTATGTACAATCTCTCCAATTTCGAAAAATTGTAATTTGTAATAAATTCCCTGTTTGTCCGAAAATACTATTTTTGAGTATATAAACAATCATAATTCATAAAACAGAAAGAATAGTTGACTGAAGGACAGCTCACCTCAAATTCACGTTTAGAACATCGTAATCCATATAGCGCTGCAGGTGCGATTCTCATGGCTCCGCCGTTACCATATGATCCTGTCCCATTAAACAAATCAGCAGCGTGAGCATAGGGATCTTTATAGTTTGCCATCCTAAGTGAGGAAAAAATGCGTCCAACAGAACCGCCATAGCACCTATGTAATCCATTTTCAAAGAAGTCAGTAGTGAACCTGTTAATATTAAAGAGGTCATTTTGCGCACACTTGGTAAATCATCCCATAGATGTGACAAAAAGAAACTTAAGGAGCACTGATCTGATCATTTCAATTAGATGAAAACACAAATATTGAAGCTCATTTATTCAAATCAAAATAAAATGAGCTCCTCAACAATGTACTACATCAATACGGTTTCCAAAAAAAATGAACAACCAGAAAGAAAACATACAGATAGAGAAAAAGAAGTCGGAAGACTTCCACTATTGATTTTTCCTTTTCGCGTCACAAAGATATTGTTGGTGATGCACTGATTAGTAGGAAGTCATATTACTCTAAACAGTACATATATAGTTTTCGAATAGAAAAGAAAAATTAGTTGTTTTAATCCTGTTTTCTGCTACCAGTATCATTGGCGAAGCTTTATTGTAACATCGTACAATAGCACCCGGGTTAATAAGTCGGTCGAGAGAGATTATATCTTTTATTAACCGATCACCTTGGTATGACTTTGATACTTTGGTCAAGTCTTGTGAATAATACAACCAGTTATTTAGGTACAGTCGGAGTCGAATAAGACGAATGTAGGTTACTATAGTTAAAAATCAAATATCAGAGATCATATAAGAAAGACGGTTTTTCATTATCTTCGTATAAATCTAATGTCTGAATTACAAAGCCATTTCTACTTACTCTTTAGCCAAATGTTCTGCATCGAAACTATTTCTAGCCCTTAATGACCGTAGAATCGCAAGACTCATTTGTGTATCATCACTGTACATTAACTGTTCAGTATCAACTAAAGACAAAGATTAGGAACGTAAACTTTGTACACACAGCCATTGATTGACCTTTGCAGTAGTTCTAAAGGAATGGTGAACTTTACTGCCGGCTTGCCTTCGTACACGAATCCATAACAATCTCCCATCAACCCGCCAATCAGTACACCACGGCAGAAAGATAAGTAATCCATTGTGAGAAGGTAAGTATGTTTGAGTTTTTGGGTTACTTGAAACCTGGATGAACGAAAGATCAACTATTAAAATCAACGTATTTTGTTAGGCTAAGCTTACTGAACAATCTATACATTAGTCAGAACTATCAAAAAAAGAGTGGATTCTGTACTCCTGAAAAGTTTTGCTCTAGTTGTTAGTGTTTTTAAGTATGTATGGGCATGAATGATAATAATCTTCTATGAACAGAAAAAACGAGTTTAAAAACTGATTGAGACTAAGAATGCAGAATATAGTTTAAACTACAATTGGTTTTAAAATAGATTCTGGGTTTCATTTAGGAATTAACAAATAGTGTCATTTCTTTAGCAATCAAAGCCCACAGCTTCCCGAGATATTACAAAATATTTCGCATATATTTTTTAAGCGATTCTTCTAACGATACACTATAGAGAGTGTTATAAAAGCGCTGTCATTGAAATAAAACTTGAAAGTACCTTATTAACTCTGGAGAAGTGGTTTGCGTTAAATTGAGAAATGTCAGAAATACGAATTTCTACCAATTGAGATATCACAAAAATATGACTTTTATTATTATTAGAAGTGATCTGTTAGATCACTGAGACTAGGAGGTATCAGTGTTTATTCTACTCCTCGAATTTGATAAGGTGTGAACGAAGAGCACAGGAAACAGAAATCATCAAGAACCACGATCTCTTAAAAAACTACACTGGGTTCCTGTCTATTCTTCATGTTTACCGATAACATTAGATGAGCTTTAGTACAGTGGTTTTTCTTTATCCCGATGATATCAAACTATAGAGGTTAAACAAGACTGCTTTAACTAAGTGACGTTACATGAATACTTTTGAATTGCAAAATCTAAAGTGTTGGCCTATTCGTTTTGATATATATATATTTGCATGTGAAAAAGTGACTGGCTTAATCTCTCGACTACGCGAAGAAGCTCCAATTTAAGTCTCGTGGAAGTGCTATTATAGGCCGCAAAAGTTTTCCAGATGTTGAATTTTCCCATAATTCCAAAGTCACTTAGGGGAAAACCACGAAACGCTCGAAGAACTTTCAGGCTTTCCTCAATCACTGGTCAGAATTTCTAACACGTTTGAGGAAATCCATCAAAGTACATTGGTAAAACTGCAAATGTCAACATCTAGTAGTGTTAGTAAAAACTGCATTGACCACTGTTAATATACATGTATTTAAGCCGACTTAAATAGTTGTGCAGGATGACAAAAGTCTCAGTGTTTAATTTAATCAGGTCTGTACTAGGATAGACCAAATTTTTAATTCTTACACCTCTTTTGGAATTGTTTTTGAAAATAGTTGAGAGGAGTTATAACAAAATGTGACGAAATTAGAACGAACATAAGTCCACCAACGTTTAACAAATTGGAAATACCACACCTGTACTAGGCTCTGTATGGTCAAGGTTATTGTATTCTTATGGTTAGTATAACATAACAAATACAATGATAGTACAAAAGACAGCACAAAATTTTTGTATGTGCAAACAGCAATCGATATATATGCAAAAATGCATTATTTTTGCGAGACCTGCATTTTTGTCTTGTAATATGCTGCGGTGATCTACTGTTACTACATGTGGAAGCCAATTAATCAAAAGCTTCTTCTGTTTTGTTCAGCACTATTTGAACCACTTTTGTATTCCGTTCGTTCAAACATTTCAAAAATATTCAGAAGAAGTTGTTCTAATGTGAAAAACTACTCATCTAAAACAAATTTAAATTTCGAAGTTTTTTCCCGTTTTTTTGGTTCAGAGGATAATTTTAGTCTGCGGATAAATGAAGAAGATGAAGACAGACGTGCTAAATCTCGAAAAAGGTAGGTCATGTTGTTGAGTCGATCATTATGTTGGCATCAACAGACTATCTAGAAATAATGTTAAGGCTTTATCTCGGTGCAGGTGTTCTGTGTCGATAATCGGTGACCTGGTTGGTCTGTCGAAATATGTAGTATGTAACACAGATGGGAAGTGTAAACCTTGTCAGTAGAAGGCTATGGAGGTCGACTCAAAGAAAACAGAACGGGCATAAGGAAGGAAGTGTAAATTTTAAGAACCGTACGGAATGTGAGGGATAAATGATGGAAATTTGCAAATGAACTATTAAATGTATGATTCCCATATTTTACTAAGAGATATTGTTATTAGGTATCAGAATGCAATTAATTGTCTTTCCTGTATATCTAATTTAGTTTCGGTTACGAATGAAAGTTTTGATGACAAATATAAAATATGGTTTCGTAAACTTTACTTAGAACTATTTGTTTCAGTTAATCTTTGTTTATTTAATTTTGTGTTACTCGGAAGTGAACATTATGAATTAGCCTATCATTACATGTGACGTTACTAATGTGAGTTTGTTTTCTCTTTGGCAGGGCAGCAAAGAGTAAACGTACTGGAAGAAGAGGAATAAGACCTACCTAAGCTAAACCTGTAGAACAATGAATAAATCCATTTTGTGATAAGTTTAGCTAAATTTACTGGGTGTCGTAAATTTCAAACTATTTTTAAGATAATTCTAATAACTAATTTATATATACACTTCAGGCTATTTTTCTGTAAGATAATGTGATTTCAAATCTAACTATGATTCATTTTCAAGTTAACAGTGTAGATAAATAAAACATATATTTTATAATAAAGTGGTCTGGCTGACCTCTAATGGTTTGTAGACTGTCGTTAATTGTGATTGAACGCCAGGTTTGTACATATAAAACCTTAACGAAGAAATATGCTGAAAAATAGCCACTAATTAATAAATAGTCACTAATGGAAACAGATGTTATTATATTTCCAAACTACATTCACTATTCATTGAAGAAGTGGAGTGTAGAACAATTGTTTTAAATGTGTTTAAATACCTTAAGCAATGTGATTCGTTGAACCTACCACTTATCCATTAGAGAGGTCTTATAAAATCTACGTTGTCATTATGTCATCAAGACAAATATAATTATATTACAGAGTTTAAATTCGTTTCGTAACATGAATTTATTCCTATTATAAACATGCCTGATAACGTCATTATCAATTCAAGGCATTTGAAAATACAGGTATCTTAAAGTAGTTGGTTTACTTAGTATAAATATGATAATCACTCAATCAGTATACTGTAAGTTAAACTATCAGAATAATATGTTATGAATATCATTGAAGAATCCTTAATGAAAATAAAACGTATATCTGATAGTGTCTATCTTATAGTGATTTTAAATAACCTACCAGTTTTGTGAAGTAAAGTAATTTTGAATTACTTTCATCAAACAAATTTTTTTATCAGTATACGGGTTGTGGAGATTATTAAGCTTTTGATTGAGATCATGAAGAGATTGGTGTTAGACCACCGTTGGAAACCTGGAAGCACTGGACGGCCGTTTTGTCCTATTGAGGGACTCCTCAGCAGCGCGCATCCATGATCTCGCTCGTGAGAGTCGAACACAGGGCCTCCAGTCTCGCGCGCAAACGCTTAACCTACTGGACCACTAAGCCGACATCCAATGGTGTTAGTGTCTAACATCGACCAATCCACAAAACTGCGCGACCATCTTCCATTGTACTGAGGTAGATACCTGTCTCTACCCGACACGGATTAGCTTCACTGGTCACGGCTTATTACTAGAACTTCGGGAATTCCCTTATAAAGCTAGTCACTATTGGGCACATGTTTATTACCAGTATAGAGGTTATGAAGATTATTAAGCTTTTTATTGAGATCATGACCGTGACCAATGGAGCTAATTCGTGTGAAGTAGAGACAATGGAAGATGGTCGCGCAATTTTGTGGATTGGTTGGTGTTAGACACTAACACCATTGGATACTGGCCATCTGAGTGGTCTAGAGGCTAAGTGTTCGCGCGTGAGTCTGGAGGCCCTGGGTTCGAATCCCGCAAGCGGGGTCGTGGATGCACACTGCTGAGGAGTCCCACAATAGGACGAAACGGCCGTCCTGTTCTTCCAGGTTCCCAACGGTGGTCTAATATCAATCGGTTCATGGTCTCAATTAAAAACTTTTTTTAGACCATATAATCTTGGTAAATGTTATTTTTATTGATTAGTTATTACAGTGTATTCAAGGATAAATTTCGTATATATGTATTCATAAAGGTCATGGTAAAATGATGGAAAGATTAACTTTTGATTGTTTATAAAATACACTTTACTGACCTATTTTAGTTATAAAACCTTTTTTTTTTCATTACTATCGGGAGTTTATTTTCATGGATTCATCTTATATGTTTAACAGTAATAATGATTATAAAAATGATGAAAACTTTTGTTATTTGATAAGAAATGAAACAAGGTCATTGATTCAACTATAAATGTTAAACTTTATATTGATAATTCAATATTATACTCATTCAATACTCTAATCACTTACATTTCTATTTTCTTAATGATGATGAAAAAATCAAGTGTCCGACAGAACTTTGCCAAAGAATGTGAAGATGCCATCAATAAACAAATCAATGTGGAACTACAGGTTGCTTATGATTATATGGCATTCTTCACTTATTTCGATAGAGATGATGTATCATTTCCGAAAGCAGCTGAATTCTTTCGAAAAGCTTCACATGAGGAACGTGAACATGCAGAGAAGTTGGCGAAATATCAGAACAAACGTGGTGGCCGAATAGAATTTATGGATTTAAGAGCATTTCAGAAAACTGAATTAAATGATCTTGAGGAAGCATTCAAAATTGCTCTAAATTCTGAAAAGTCGATTTATCAGGTGAATTGACTAATCAACTAATCATTATTAATAATTTTATTTTTCGTAAAGTAAGATATTTTTCTTTTTCTAAATCCAAAATTGATTGTCATATGAAATTTCATGTTATTGAATAAAGTTAATATCTGATAATGAAACTGGCCATATAACTACTTGAATACAGACACAACTAACCGATCTTCTTTGATCTCATTTGATTTAGTTGCAAAGGAATTTCAAATTCAATATGGAACACCAAAAATTATGAT